CTGAGGAGGATCTCCTACAATCTCAGATGGTTTTCTTTTAAAAGGCAACTGGTTGATAGTCTCTTCAGAGTGGAAAGGCCGTGCAGAGGATTAATAGAACGTGAGTACTCCAGTAAAGGAGGATAGAGCGGAGCAGTAGAAGGCATGTCAGCCTTCCTGTCTTTTATTTGCGGCACCTCCTTTAATTTTTAGTCTTTTTTATTACTCTTTATTAGTATTTAATTTTTCATTAGCATTTTGCAATGAATTTTTCACTGAGGCTATTTTGGAATCTTGAAGGAAGCCTTTCAGAAGCTTCTGTATACCAATTTTAAAATGCCATTCTGTTTTTTTTAATTCAGGAACCCTTGCTTTTTGAGTGCACTTCTTAAATGAACAATCTTGTCTAATGGGAATGTTCCGCATAATGGCCATTGTAATTCCAGGTTGTTTTTAGTAAGATTTTGCCATTTTTGTAGACACCAAAGTTTCCAAGACCACAGTTCTTAAACATAAAATAAGCATGTGTGCCAGAAGGTGGCAAGCTTGACTCTTTGGAGCTTAAGGGTCTCATTCTTTTTCAGTTAGATCTTTGGGTCTCTTGGAGCCAAACTAATACCCCAAACTATTGCTGAGTTGGGGACTGTGTAGTTTTACAGTGTGCCTCATTGCATGGAACTTCTCCTGAGGTTGACTGGTTACCTAGTATCAATCCAACCCATTCCATGGCCAGCTTATCCTAACATGGGAGTCTTAGAATTGGTGGTGAATGCCCTAAACACCTTTAAGTGCTCAATCTGTGCTGACCAATTTTTACATTTTTTTGGCTTTTGAGATTCCCATCAGCAATAATTTTTACCTCATGTGTTCCTTAACACCACTAGCAGTAACCAAAGAGATGCTACTGTGGACTGGCCAAGAGAAGGCCCTGTGCATACCACTGGCAAGTCCCATGGAACTAGGGACTGGAGAAAGGATTGTACCAGCAGACCTCAACAAATGGGGACTTCAGACTGGGGTTCAACACAATAGGGAGCTGCAGACTGAAGTACCAGTGATTCCCAATGTGGAGTCTGGGGATCAAAACAAGGGCTAACATTTCCAATCAAGTGAGGAATTATATATTGAAACAAGGGCTAGGAGCTTGGGTTCCAGGTGGAGCTGTCTTGCCCTGGACTAGAAAGCCAGTTCTAACAGGAGCTCAATGCAAAGAGAGCAGGGCTCAGAACCAAAATAACTTAACCTCAGAAATGACAAGAGAGACAAAGATCACTAAAAGGTTCACAGGTACCATGCCTGAGTTTCTGTTGTCCCAAAGCTATCAAGTGTCTTTCTGATCCCACTACTGCCACCAAATCTGTTTAAAAACAAAATTCAACTGTGTAAATTTTAAAGATCTTATTGGCTTTATTCAATGATTCATAACTCAGGCAGCATCCCATCCAGCAGCTAGAAAAAAGCTCCAAAGAGCTGTACAAAAAAAAAAAAGGACTTTTACAAGCAGAAGGGGGTAGGAAAAGGAAATTTCTAACAAAAACTGGATTGTTTCAGGCAAGGTCACCTTCCTACTGGGGATGTGAGGGTCTGTCAGGTAGATTACCTCACTGGTGTTGACCAGGCAGTTCCAGATTGACTGGTTAAAGGTCACATTCCTGGGAGAGGCAGAAACTGCAGCTAGGTTAGGTATTGGTTTGCAGATGTGGGACTTAGCACAGGTGACTCCACCTTGGGGTTGTTATTTCTTTCTAAACAAGCTCTCAAGTTTCTGTGTTTGTCAGGAGAAATATATATTTTTATCTGTAAGGCTGAATAGATAATTGGAATCTTTGTGCATACATGCACACACAGGCATGTGAACACGTCATGGGGGCAGGTGGGATGGTGGACCACAACCTCAGCTCTTTTTCCCTGGGTTCCCAATCACCATCTAACCCACCCCAGTGGTCTCCTCTTTCTGGACCTGGTGCTGTCTGTTCATCCTCTAAAATAGCTAAAGATACTTAGAGACCAAGAAAACTTGTCTCAAACCTTGAAGTGCTAACTTGCTTGAAATTTTGTTTCAAGATAGAAACAAAAAGAAATTTTGTTTGTAGATGATAAATAATTGTCTTAATTGTTGATGTTTAAAAAAAAATAAGGAGGAAGGTGTAATCTGGGCACCCAAGACCTAGCTGCTGAGAATTAGTCATTGAAGCTGTAGGAACTGTCTCACACTCATTCAAGGCTCATGATTAAAGTCCATGGAATGTCTAACTGTAGTCAAACAGAGTAAGCAGAGGCTAAGCCAACACTTACTAATACCTAGCTGACATCATTCTTACATCTGTAGTCTCTAATTTAACTATAGTTGAGATTTTTTTTTCTATACTGTCTTTGTCTACATTTGTGTGTTATTCAGTGATTAACAAGGATGAATGCTTTTAGTATCATGCATGATTGTATATCTCATAAGGCCAAAGTGTCCCAATCTGGACTATATTTTCGATTTCATTTTATGGAACAAGATAGGGATGTTCATTTAATACCATTCATTCAAATTGTTTTCAATAGGTTGCTTTTTGTTTGTTTGCTTTTTTCTGAAAGAAAAATTCCTTCCTTAGATCTTTTCTTTAGTTCTTTCAGACACATTTAGTTTTAGTTGAACTGATTTACGGAACTTTTTCATATGAGCTTAACCAAGGCTGTATCCTTGAATCATCTAGTATTTTCTGTACTATTCTGTAATATTGGGCCAAAGGAACTTATGTGCATGTTTTAGACATTGAGAACACACTGCAATGCCTTGCTCTTATAAAAATTATTTAAGAGCCCCTCTGTCATAGGAATAACCTACCTTCTTTGACATGTGCTTCCATTTACAAAAGAACGGCCTTGCTGTTTATGTTATGTATTCTAGAAAAGAATGCCTAGCACTGACTATATTTCATCCCACAAGGCCCCATCTGATCAGTTCAAGAGCAGTGAGGCTGAATCCAGCCCTGGAACTTCAAAGTCCAACAGACTGTTGTGACTTTAAGTATCTAATTTAGGACAACATGAAATACTACTTTGGTTCTCAGTGCATCTATCCTCTAAAGATACCAGTGCATTCAGTTGCCAAACAAATTCTTCATTTTGATAATCTTTTGGGATAATAAAAGTGAACAGTGCTAAAATCAAAGTGTTTTTCAAACACTAATGGTGCCAAAACTTGAGATTTTAACATTGGCAAACAAAAGTATTTTAGCCGCTAAGAAATCACAGAGCTATAAAAAATTGTGGAGGTTTAAACAGAGGAAAATGAATTCTCTGTCATGTTTCCCTTTTTTAGTAACCCAGCTACAGAAAAAAGCTAATTGCCCTCCATGTGAGTAAGGGAGGTAGGCAAGACCTCCCTTCTTTCTGCTATTTTCTGTCACCATTTTTAAAAGTCTGATCTTTAAATCAGTTTCTATTTTCCAGACTAAACTCTCCAACAAATGATATTAATTTCAAACATTTCATATATTTATAATTAATTCCAAACTAAGAGATTATAGCAATTATTTTTACTTGAGAACATCCCACATTCATTCACTAGTAAATTATTATGGCTTTGTCTTTTAAAGTCTACTTTGGGAGCACTTTTTAACTTAAATCAATTCTATACTGTAAACCATCACTCTTTCAGAAACATGCAATTCTATTTGAATTATAATTATAGCCTACAGCTAAATTTAATTTACCAGATTATCAGAATGGCTGCTTTTAATATTAATCAGGGAGGACTCTAGCTAAGTATGACTTTGCTCATTCAAAAAAGTAGTCAGTCTACCCCGACCAGGCATCACTATACAGGTTGTACAAACACATGTTAATATAGTTCATTGTGGGGCATCCATTAAGGAAAATAGAATGATCAGAGGGTTAAGAGAATTCTATCCTCAGTCCTCTTCTATTCTTTCTCTGTATTTATTCTCTTGGTGATCTCATTCAGTCTCACAGCTGTCAACACCATCTATACATTGACTCCCAGTTTTGACCCTTCTCCACCCTCAACTCTGACCTTCTAACTCCTATGTCCAGCTTCTGAATCAACAGCTGCTCTTGGATGTCCAGTAGACATTTCACTGAATGTATCCACAACAACTCTTGACTTGGCCACTGGACGTTTTCTGCCCTCACCTAAGTAAATGGGTCTACTGACAGCCCACTGACCAAGAATAGCAGAGTCATCTTGAAGTCTTCATTTCCTTTACCTCCTACAACCAAGCTCTACAGTAGCAAATCAGTGCTCTACCTTTATTCTTGGTAAATATGTCACTCTCAGTCCTCCACCATAACCTCTGCCCTGGATCTCAACAGCTTCTAGGAAGTCCCTCTGTTCCCACTACAGTCCACTCTCTGCTCAGTAACCAGAGTGGTCGCACTCAAAGTTAAATGAGATTTTGTCATTCCCTTGCTTAAAATCCTCAGTGACATCCCATGACATTTAGAATAAATTTCAGTGTCCTTCCCTTCAAGACATGACAACATCTAGCCCTTAACCACTCCACCTCCTTTTCTTCCTTATTCAATATTTAATAAATTCAACATTCTCCAATCCCACCAGACATCTTACTGTTCTTCAAAGACACCAAGCTTGCTCCTGCCTCAGGACATCTGCACTTGCTCCTCCCTCTGTCTGGAACAATCTTGTGCTGATTCTATACATGGCTCCTTTTTCCTTTCTGTTCAGATTGCTGCTCAAATGCCATCTCCTCAACGAGGTGTCCTTGACCACTTTATCTAAAATAGTGATCCAGATCTATAGATAGCATCCAACATACTCTATCTTCTTACAGCATTTTATTTTCTTTCTATGTAAAGCCATCTTAATAATACATAATATTTATAATACATACATATAGAATATTTATATAGCTGTTTGCTTGATAACTGTAGGATTCAGACAACCAAGACAGCAGCCTCATGAGAATAAGGACTTAGACTTGCCATGGTTGGATCCCTTACTCCCAGAATGTGCTCAATAAATATTTTTGAATTATTAAGCCAAGTTAGAAGCCATTACTTACATTAAAATATTCACTCCGTATTTTATACATATTTATTTCTTTTTTCACAAAGGATTTGAAACAGCTTTAAGCAAAAACAGACAATAAAAAAACAGAAACATAGCACCAAAAACATTATAGGCAAATAATAATAATAATAAAGTAAGATGGTCAGTTACAACATTATCATGAGGAAGTAAGAAAGTAGAAAGGATACTGTGCTTTAAGAGAACTAAACTTTTCCTAAGGCTAAATTCTAAATGAAGGTTCTCCAGTGAGCCTTCATACAGTAAAGGGCAGCGTCCACAGCAATATTTGTAAAGCAGATGCAATGGTCCTTTTCAAATGGCTGCTTCTTTGATAATGGCCAAGGGCCCAAATTAAAATGCAATAGAATGAAGGGGAATCATTAAAGGGCTGAGTAATACGCACAAGAACACAGTATTCTGGTTTCCTTACTTGAACCAAGAAAATGACTTCCATCCAGAAGAGTCAGCTAATACCACAGTCAGCATTGTTTACTGCTAGGAATTAAGGTGATTTCAGTAATCCAAGGTCAACACTGCATCAGGAAATGCTAGTGTGGCACGCCTGGATTCATGCAGCTAGAAAGCCCCCCACCTGCCAGGCTGGTTTTATCTCTCGTTCGCCAGGTGCCTGGAAGAATGCGCATCACTTCCTTCCTGTCAGTGTTCTTCCATGGATTTTCTCTTCTTCATGGAAGGCTATATCCAGGGTGCTCTTTTCCATCAACTCCTTTTACCCCCTCTCTGTCTTTGTCTTTATCTGTAATCCTATTTTACTTTCCTGTAAAATAAAAGAAAAATAACTATTGTTACTACAAACACTAGGAAACACCAAAAGTTGCAAAGTACTTTATCTTCTATAAACCAAAATGCTAAATTATTCTCATTATGGACATTTTGTCACATATTGTGAAATTCGGAGTTGACAGAGAGCTAAACTAGAATTCTGCTTCAAATAATATTGAGCTTCCTGTGACAACAGTTTGGTCGGGTCCCATGAGCACTCTCTCATTTTATAAGCGTTACTTAACAAACACTCTGAAAAGTCTGCAGTGAGCCTCAGGTTAAAGCCACGGTCATTTCTACTGGATCCCCTCCGTAATTAGCGGTCTTTAACAAACATCACCGAGCAGCTGTAACTACACCACTGCAGTTCACTGGCTACCAGCCACTGTCCCAGCTCATCAGTAAACAAGCAAGCATTTGTCACCTTTCCCACAGAGGCCCCTGCCCCCAACTCCAGTCAGATCCAAGAAAAATTCTTCCTTACTTTTCCCTAAGAAAGTGATTTTTTTTTTTACATGTTGAAAGAGTCTGTAACACTGGTAAAAGGTGGAAACACATTTCAGTGTTTAAGAGGCCATTGTCTTTCCCTCCAATAATGGCAGACATCCTGGGAAAGCCAAGACTTTGCTGAGAAGCCCTCTCCAAGATATGCTACCTCTATCCCCCTGCTCACCGCCACACACACACGTACATACACACAGACACACACACACACACACACACACACACACAGTGGCGGCCAGTGTCTTCAACACTGCTCAGTGCTTGGCAAAGGGCAGCAAGATGATGACAAGAAAGACACACACGGTGCCAGGCAGGGCGGTTTTTGAACATTGCAGGGATGGGGTGAGGAGTCTGTCATAGTCATGTGCCCCCCAAGAAAAGTATTCCCTTTTATTTTTCATTCAGCTGTCGCTGAGAGTCAAAGCACGCACTGGTAGCCGCTGTTGTTTGGAGAGTTGCTGGCGGTTCCCGGCCAGATGACCACCCTTCCTGAAAAGCTGATTGTGCTGCGTTTACTCAGCACCCTTTCATAATATCTAGTGTTTTGTTTTCTTATTGCAGACACTTGGTGCAAAAAAAAAAGCATTTTGCTACCACACTCCTCAATTATTCCAATATTTGCCCCTAATAGAAATATGCACTCATAATGTAAACACACTATTCTGAGAAGCAAAGTGCCTTCCGTAACGTAATTTGTCGAATGGCTTATTCGAATGATGTGCTGCTGCGGTAATCACCGATTTCCCTGTCCTATTAAAGCCCCAGAATTCCTAATTTCCAACAAAAGTCCGAATCTAATCCAAAAATCTATTTGACATCTTACAACTATTAGATTTCCTAATAGTCTTGAATAAGCAACGAATTGTACTCACTTCCAGAAAGAGTGCATGGCCACCTGCCAGTTTAAAACAAAACTGGGAATCTGGCTTGTTCTCAAAGAGACCAGTACCTAGGAAGTCACTTGACTTTTCCGTTTTTAGTGTTTTCTTAGCTATAATAGAAAGAGAAACATGCTTATGAAAGAAAACAGTTTTCTCTGAACACTTCCTTTCTGATAATTGATGCTACCTAGAGGCCTCGACACTGAAGCCAGGGTCCACTCTGAGTCTCTGGGTCAGTACCATCTTGCCTGTCGGATGGAAGTCGCCCTCGAGCTCAGATTGCTCATTGCATTCCAACATTCTGTAAATGACCTGGCTAACAGTTTCCAAAGGTCTGAGAACACTAAAAATTCCTCAAATAAAGATATTAGCCATTTTTTAAAATGTGCCTGTTACCCACTTAAACCTTGTTATATACATTTGTTATAGTCACTCAATTTGTTTGGGGCCAAAGTTGCTCCTAAATTCATCCATACTACTGATAGAAATCTTAAGTTGTGGTTATGACCAAAAAGTCAACAGATTATTTTTGGTGACGGGCATGAGCCTTTTGGAAGCAGACACGGAACCGGCTGTCTTGTCCTCCAAAGCACACAGGGACCTGTTCACATGTGTGATTTGAGCAAATCCTTGAATTCCGTGGGGCCGGGAGGTCTCCATGTGCTGAGGGCTGGGCGCTGCATGCCGGGCTGTGCAGACTTAGCAACGCGCCCCGGGTCCCCGCGGTTTCCTGGCAGCAGAAGTGACTGCGCAGCTTGAGCTCGCCCAGGCTCCCGGGGCGCTAGCTCGGGGCTGTCTCTGGGGAGGGGGAGCTCCTCAGTGCAAGCTGAAGTTCGAGTCAGAAAAGGCTGCTGTTTAAACTGAAGAGAGCCTTTTGTGCCAAAACCACCATCCATCCTCTTTTGTTCCTCTCGAAAGGGAAGTGACGCCAGCTGGCTGGGCTGAGGCAAGTCATCCATACAGATGCTGGTCAGATGACACTCCCCTTCCTTCCCCTTGTGCGGTTTCAACCACAGGGAATGCCAGTGTCCAGCCCCCTAGAAGGCGACGTCTGGGACCACCACTCCTTTGGACAACTGGTGGCCATCTTCCAAGTAGCCACAAGGTGATAGACTTAGTTTGTACTCATTGCATTTCCATCACAGGAACCTACAGCCACCCTGTTTTTGCCCACTTAGGATAAATTTGCCTGTCGTTAAAGGACAGCTTATTATACAGTAACACGATATCCTGGTAAATAAGAACAGAGAGACAGCAAGACTGCCCACTCACGGACTTCACCAACGTGTGTCGTAAGATCGAATTTGCATCCGAAGCTTCGAAAAACGAGAAGTAAAAAGTAGGAGGTTTTTTAACCCTGATTGCCTGGTGATGAGACAGCCCGTAACAGCGCTTGGCTATGAGTGACTTAGCAGCTGAGACGCTCTGGGCCCCGGACGCAGCCGCCCCGGCCCCTCTCCCCTCTGCTGCCGCCACTGCTGCATTCAGTCGGGGGAGAGCATCTCCTTGTACTGCTTCTAAAAACCACAGACATCGGGAGAGAACTGGAATAATAAAGCTTCTACTGTGACTTCCCAAACTCTAGCTCTGCACTTTGAGGGTGGTTGCAGAGTCTGTGTTCTGCTGAGCAAGTACACGGGGCCTAGTGAGTCCCCAGGACTGGGCATTTCAGCAGGTTTACCAGTAATCAGCCCAAATCTCCAGCAGCCTAAGGAGAAACGTTTGTTTGCTGTGGGTCCTCAGTTGTAACAAGTATCTTGGGGACACTCTTAGATTGTATTACCTTCCCTCCTGAGCCTTCGGCTTCACTGGCTAAATAGCTCATGAGGTCAGCCACAGAAGGGCTAAGTGTGAACAGTCTCATTACCGGCCCCTTCTCTACACTGTCTTTGGACCTCCCTGGACGTATAGGTACCAACTACAAGCGACAGCTCGTGTTGCCATGTGATAGAAAAGCAGAAATGTACGTTATTCCATAGTACTCAGGCGTCCAGGATGTCTGAGACATAACCACTGAAAAATAATAAATAGGCTTATAATCATTGTCATTACTATGGGAGACAGGGAGACCACGTAGGGAATTTTTATAATTCACTACCTGAGTGACCTTGGGTCAGTTGCTTAGCTTCTTGGTGCTTCTTTCAATGGAATGATGATCATATTGACTATCATTGTTATCATAAAATTGATGAAGATTTAATGAGACCAGGCAAACACCTGGTATAACACAGCAGTGCACCACATCTGTCCACGGGAAAACCTCATAACCGCTACGGTCGTGAAGGATGCTTCTCCAAACCACGAAGTGTGTCTTCCCACCTGCCTCAGAGTAAGCCCAGGAGACAGGCAGGGTCCCACCTTACAGACGAAGAACCTAGGCTCAGAGACAAGAGGCTTGTCAGCATGACGAAGGCCTTGACTGTGTAAGTCATCTGCTGTTATTAGCGAACATTCTGTACATTCCTGAATGTTCCACGAGCATGTATTAACCACGTATCCAGCATTTATCTCTGAACAAGGCAAAGAAGTTTAGTCTAGAGGCAGGAGAGAGACAATAGCAAGGAGACAAATCAGTGAGCAGGTCACCTCGGAGAGCAGTAACTGTTACGTGGAGGATGAAACATAGTAAGGGGACAGAAGTGACCAGGGGAGGGTGATGCTCTTACTGGGGAGGTGACATTGGATGTAAGCACTGAGCAATGACAAGGATGCAGCCATAAGGGGTTCTGAGTCAAACAGGTCCAGGCAGAGGCCCAGGGAGAAATAGGACTGTTGAGAAAAAGCAAGAGGCCAGTGCATGTGGAGGCTACGGGGCAAGGGGCCAGCAGTGTGAGCGCGTTCGGCACTGGAGAACATGGAGCAGAGGGGCTCTGAGAGAGAAAACCAAGGGTGCTCCTTCTGGAGAGACCTGACTGGTGTGTTGAGTTGGGCTCGGAATGTACGAGCCAGGGGCTCAGGCGTCGGACGGAGGCGAGAGTTGACATCATCAGCCTGTAGTTGACGTCATCATCTGCTGACTCGCAAGATAACGGCCCGCAGACTGTGGGCACTCCAGAGGTCAGGCTCACAAGATACATTAAACTCAGAGGGGGTCTGTACAACAGAGGAACCACTGGTATCTCACCATTTTTAAAAAACTTGGAAGTACCCTGGAGAAATTTTATGTGCTAGCATTTC